TGAACCTCCTTGATTCCAAGATACACAGAGATCTGCAAGGATGTGAGCCCACAAATGCTGAAAGGAGAAAAGAACCACCCTACAGAACCGACACAGAGAGAAAGCCTTGATCTGGAGTTGCGTGTTGCATCCGGCTCTGGTGGCTCAGTGATAAGGAGCTGCACTGCCAACCAAAGATGTGGGGTTCAAACCCACCAGCTGCTCCGAGCGGAGTGATGGGCATTTTCCTGTATGTTTTGCAGCCCCTGAAAAACTGCTGGATGGTCATCTGCATGTCAGTTCAGACTCAAAGATACATCATAGTAAGAGAATAACTTTATTTGCTAAAGCCAAACAGAAAACTTGTGGCCTTTCTCTTCTGTCAACACTCAAAACTTAGTTTTCAAGTAACTCTCATGATTTTTACCTTAAATATCTAACAAATCCAACCACTTCATTCATCCCTTACTAAGCAACACTCACGCAGACTTGAATCTACAATCAGTGCCCCTGGTATCCGCATTTAAGCAACCAAAAGACATGCTGCATTGGTAAAATCTATAGCCAAGGACCTCTCCTGTTAAGGAATGGTGATGTCCATTTAAACTAAGGCACGCCTGATTCAAGACATGGTCTTTTCAGTGACTTGCTGTGCGTCTGAAAATTAGACAATGACTATGGGTAACAAAAGAAAAGTGCAACAATGAATGGAATTCCAAAATCTCTGTAGATGTTCATTGAAATTAATAATAATAAAAAATATGTTTTTGAGTTGCGGTGTTAGAGAAGAGAGCTAACTATTCGATGGATTGGTAAAGAGCAGATGTGTCTTGGAGAAGATGCAGCCATCGGGCTCCTTGGAGGCAGGGATGGTGAAGCTTCATCTCTCATATTCTGGGTCTCTTGTTAGGAGAGGCCAGTCTTTGGAAGAGGCCATGCTTGGAAGGGCAGTGGGTCAGAGGAAGACCCTCAGTGACATGGATTGATACGGTGGCTGTAGCAGTGAGCTCAGGAGTATTAGAATTGACAAGGATGCTGCAGGTTAGGGCAGTGATCAGATCGTATTTAAGGGTCTGATGTGAGTCAAGGTCGATAGGATGGTCCCTAACAACAACAACTAGACGGCCGCCTCTTTTCCTCAACCGTAACACTGGGGTAAGTCACGAATATTGAAGGGCCAGGAAAGGCCAATGTTACCACACAAGCATGACCTGTGAGTTTGAGGAAAGGGTCATTGGGACTAGAGACAAACTGTAGAGCCTGGATGGGGCACGTGACCATGATAATCATGGCAATGAAGAGGTTTTCTTGCCACAAAATGAGAACTTTGCAAAACGCATGTAGATGAGCACCACAGTGAAGTCAAGAGGCAAAGGCATAGACCAGAAGCAGCGTGTGCTGAGGAATTGGAGAGGACACTGGGAGGGAAGGCGGGCCTGCATCTCCGTTACTCAGCTTCTGTGTTAACTCCTACGTTTAAATTGGGATCTCTTTGGAACCCCAAACCTCTGTGTGGGCCCATATCTTTCTGAGGAGGGTTGCGTTCATTTCTAGCATAATCTTGTTGAGCGATGTTGCAGCATCTCCTTTCGGGAATCCTTGGTAATTTGGTAGGAAGGTGGAGTTTGCATGCTTGTGTGTGCTTCAGGCTCTGGATGTTTCTTGGTAACAATAACAGATAACCGTGTAGATGCTGGGCTCCCTGGAGAACCCAGGTGTTAAAAGCCCACCATGGGTATACGTGCTCTCGCTTGGACTCGAAACCAAGTGACCCTCTGTTCCTCGTTGCTGCCTGATTCTGACTTCCATCTTCATCTCTTGAAGGAATCAGTCTACAGAGTGATGTGCTGTTAATGTGAGAAGGCCACTAATCCATCTTCAATCATACTTCAGGAGGCAAGGGATCAATAGCTGGTGTTGAGGTCAGATCCCAAGGATAGCCTTGGACGTTTGTTTGCTGGGAGGAAACATCACTTTTCTGATTATATCAGCTGGAGAAAGCTGCACGCTAGTCATTATCAGAGTTCTCCTAGGTCGAAGAGAGGGGCATGTTGTTGAAAGAGAGGTGTCTGATCTTTCAGAAACAAATTAAAATGCAGCCAGCTGGAATTCCCTCTCGAGGCCTGGAGTGCAGAAGGAGACTTAAAATTCACGAGAAGAGTCCAAGAGGTTGACACGACCCAAGCTAGAGCAGCCTGCTGCCTGCTGTGGTAGCTCTGGAAAAGACTGTTATCTAAAAATAGTTTTGTTTCTTTTGCATGAAAGTGAAAATGGGAAGGGAGAGTGTGAATTAAATGTGTATGCCCTATAAATAGTCACACAATGAGTAATCAGTACCTATTTGGAATAGGAAATTATTTCTGTCCCTGATAGAAATCTCCTCTGGAAATAGTTCTATTAAATTCCTGGAGGAAGACACACTTGTACAAGAAACCACCCACTCAGTTCTTATTTCTGTTGCATGATGGGCACGCCATTCCTAAGGGAAGTGGACCTGAAGCCTGTCACACAACGATACATTAGATACCACTTGTAGATTTGGTTTGAGCACATAAGTTCTTTTCTGGAAGGAAACTCATCCTTTCTGGTTCCATCAGTTGGAGGAAGCTGTGTGAGTGTAGCATTTATTTGTCAGCATTTGAACTCTTGTCTTCCACCTGGGAGTCCAGGTTCAATTCCTGGCCAGTGGTCATTTAAGCACAGCTGTCACCCACCTGTTGCTGGAGAGGTGGGTGTGGCTTTCTCGTGAAATTGATTTCAGGGAGTTTGCAGAGTCAGATGGACTAGAGGGAAGGGCCTGACAATCTACTCCTGAAAACAAGGCGGTGACAACACTATGAATGGCGTTAGTCCAATCGACAGCTGATCTTGGGGGTGACCTGAGACCAGGCGGCATTCTGTTGTGTTGCCTGCAGGATGTCTAGCACTAGGAGCTGACTTCATGGTGGCTCACACAACACACACAGAAGAAAAGCCTCACAGAAACCATTTATCTGCACTTGCATCACATGATGTGCATAAAAATATCCAGAGGAAGAGAGCTCTGGTGGCCTAGTGGCAAGACACTGCACTGCAATCCCAGAGGTATGTGGTTCAAATCCACCAGATGCTCTGCTGGAGAAGGAGGGGGCAATCTCCTCCTGTACCAGTCAGATCTGATTTGACGGTATATGTAAAAATAGTAAAATTTTAAAAAAAATGTCCAGAGGAGATCAGCGTGTGGGATTTGGAATTGGATTCCCTGGGCTGAGCCCCTGGCCTCGTCACGTGTCCTCTGTCGAAGCGAGAGCCAGTGGCATTGTGTGCACTCTTTCTTCTGGTAACAACATAATCTCTTCTTGAACCTCTGTCTGTCCCACACTCAGGGAGGCTGAGCTGGGGCACCTCAATACATCATGTTGTTGCTGTTATGTGCCATTGAGTCGCTTGTGACTCATAGCGACCGTATGTACAAGAGCCCTATACGCCCTTCTATCCTGTGCCAACCTCGCCATCTCAAACACACTCATTCCCACCACTCTACTCACAGAATCGATCCATCTCGTTGAGAGTCTTCCTCTCCTGCGCTGTCCCTCCACTCTCCCAAACATGATGTCCCTCTCCAAGGACCAGTCCCACCTTGCAGCATGCCCAAAGTATGTCAGACAAAGCTTCAGAATCCTTGACTCCAAGGAGCACTTCAGCTTCACCCTCTCCAGGACAAAACTGTTTGTTCTCTTAATAGTCCATGGTATATTCAACACTCTTCTCCAGCACCACAGCTCAAAGGCATCAATTCTCTTTCTATCAACCCTATTCATTGTCCAACTCTCCGATGCATAGCACGTAATTGCAAAGACAATAGCCTGGATCAGGCGCACCTTAGTCTCCAGCCTGACGTCATTGCTCTTCAGTACTCTTGAGAGGTCCCTCACAGCTGACTTTCCCAATGCAGTTTGTCTCCTGATTTCCTGGCTGCTGTTACTAAGAGTGTTGACTGTGGAACCAAGTAAACGAAAACTGTTAACTTTTTCAATCTCTTCACCATCAATACTGATGCTGCCAATTGGCCCCGTGGTGAGAATCTTTGTTTTCTTGATATTGAGCTTCACTTCATATTGACGACTGCAGTCCTTGACCTTCTGCTGCAAGCACTTCAGGTCCTCCTCAGGAAGCAGGGTTGTGTCATCCGCATAACAAAGGTTGTTGATGATTCTTCCACCACTCCTGATGCCACATTCCTCCTCGTACAGCCCAGCATCTCGGATGATCTGTTCTGCATACAGATTGAAAATGTGTGGAGACAAAATATATCTCTGATGGACCCCTTTCTTGATTTCAAACCATCCAGTGTCTTCTTGCTCTGTTCTGACGACCAAGAGGTCCAAGTATAGGTTTTGCATTAGCACGATCAAATGTTCTGGGATTCCCATTCTTCTCAGAGTCAGCCACAGCTTGTTGTGATCACACAGTCAAAAGCCTCTGCATAGTCAATGAAGCATAGATAGACATTCTTCTGGTATTCTCTGCTTTCTGCCAAGATTACTCTAACATTAGCTATAATATCCCTAGTACCACGATCTCTTCTAAATCCAGCCTGCACATCTGGAAGTTCTCTGTTGACATATTGTTACAAACGTTTTTGGATAATTTTCAGCAGAGTCTTGCTTGCATGTGATATCATTGATACTGTTTGATAATTTCCACACTCTGTTGGGTTACCTTTCTTTGGAATGGGAACAAATATCGATCTCTTCCAGTCAGTTGGCCAGCTGCCTGTCCTCCAGATTTTCTGGCACAACTTAGTGAATACACGAGAGGTCAAGAAAAAATATTTTTAAAGGTGAAAAAAAAGTAATTCTTTTTTTAAGCTATATGGTTTCTTTTACCACAGTTCAGTTTCTGGCTTTGCGATGTTAAACTAGCCATTAAAAAATAAATTAACTGTTTGCTGGTTTTCCAATGAAGCTTGATTTATAAGTTGTGTGTCTCACTGCCAGGCCCACTAATCAACAGGGGTCCCTTTCTTGTCCTCCCGGCAGGCGCAGAAGACTGGCTCAGGAGGGGTCGTCGAGGCTGCAGAAGACCTGCTGCTGCTCAGTCGGCCCCTGACAGACCTCGTCAGCCTGCTCATTCCACTGGTAAGAAGCCCCTCTCCGCATATCATTACTGTACATTGCCAACATTGACGCGATTTGGTTTTAATTCCGTGATCCCTTGAGTTAGTTATCCCTTAGGATAGATCACAGTTCCTTTCATACCTGGAGCCGAAGGGGAAATTTCAGAAGGTGGTTTGGCCTGAAAATAGGAAATTGCTCCTTTATTTTAAAACCAGGTGCCTTGGCATGTCTATAAATAGGCCTTTAAGTAAGGCAGAATCTCAAGTCCAATTACCTTCTTAATGAAAATAAGGTGAGAAATTTAACAAATGAATTCCAAAAAGGAAGAAGAAAAATCACGATGGGAATCAACTACCTTCAGAAAGAAATGTTAGCATTCTACTCGGTGTGCAGGACGCCTCACGCATGCCGGAGCGCGCACACGCACTTGTCTCGTGTCTGCCTCGCTCTCCCCAGACATGGGATGAAAATAGAAACAGGTAAGATTACACAAGACTGCTGAATGTATCAAAAGAGTTCAATTTAAAAACCTGGCATTTTGATCAGTTAACCAGGTCGAATTGATAATGACAGAGAGAACAAGGTGAGAAACCTCCTTTGTCTCCTGTGGACTCAGTCTCCCCACATCTACCTTCTCTCTCTGTCCTGTGGGCTCAAGTCTTACTCACATCTACCTTTTCTTTTACTTGTTGCTCCCACACCTGCTTTTGTAAATCAAGTTTCTTTGGAATATTAGCACACAGTTATTTTTTTTAAACAGTTATTTTTTTAATGGCTAGTTTAACATTGCAAAGCCAGAATTGAACAGTTGTAAAAGAAAGCATATTGCTTAGAAAAAGAAATCTTTTTTTTCACCTTTAAAAATTTTTTTCCCTTGACCTATTGTGTAGAGAACCGGAATAATTTCATAAAAAGTGATCTGTATCTTTGTGTATACCTTGGAAGAGAGACTTCACCTTCTTTTCAGATTTAGAGGGAGCATCTTAAAAACTGACCATGTACTATAGTCTAAAGAATATTAATAAACGGTCATAAACAGGACTTGTATGGGACATACCAGTGAAACTAGAAGGAAAAATGAAAACAGTACAATACAGTAAAGTAAAAACAATCACAAATGTTCTATGTTAGGTACTTACTGCAACAAAAATAGCACCAAGGAGTGGCTTTAAAGAACAGAAATGTAATTTCTACTGTTCCAGAAACTGAGTGTCCAAAACAGAGCCTGGGCTGTGTTGATTTCTTTTTTATTGATGAAACTCAAGCTTTCCTTGCTTGCTTGAATATACACAATCAGATGGCATGTCGTCTTCTGTATATCTTTGTCTTTTCTGGCCTTTCTGTCTCTTAAGTGTGATTAGCTTTAAGTTTCACTCTACACGGGTATGATATTACTAACATCACAAAAGAAACATCTTGTTTCCCAATAAGGTCACATCCTGAGGAATAAAGGACAGGATAGTAATACATATTTTATCCTAACAGAATTGATCCCATAGCCTATACTCTTAGCAAATATTCCTCATTAGTGTACTCACGTTATAATATATCCACCTGGATGCAGTCATGAGATAGGCACCATGTATGTAGTGATTTAATCAATGTTGTTGTTATGTGCCGTCGAGTCGTTTGCGACTCACAGCGACCCTATGTACAACAGCCTTAAACCCTGCTCTGTCCTGTGCCAATTGCATTGCCTCTGACACACCCATCCCGATTACCCCAGTCACAGAATCAATCCACCTCATAGAGGGCCTTTCCCTCCTGCGCTGTCCCTCCACCCTACCAAGCATGACGTCCCTCTCCAATTTGACGTAAATCATGATTATAATCAAAGAGTAGCTGTAAGACTTTGAAAGGACTCTGCAGGACACTGTAATGGTGAGAGACAGTACCCAGGGACAGGTGAACCTGGGTGAGGCAGACCTCACAGGAGAGAGTAGGTTTGCAGCCACATTCGTGGTCAAGACCTTCCCTGCTTTCCTGGGCTTGCAGGAAGCACCTAGAATGCAATATTGCCCAAGTGCTGTGTTGACCCAGTTTCAAGATCTCAACTAACTCTCCGTCTGTTTGACAAACTATTTGCTAAGTTTGCATCCAGCGACTTCCCTTATCAGGCTCTAGTATCCGTGGGTTATAATACCCAAAAGTCTCTTGACCCCAAGGGTGGCTTCCTTTTTTCCTTGTGGTCCGTGGAATTATTTCAAACACCCTATTCCCAGGGAGGGAGCTCTGGTAGCCTAGTGGGAAGAAGCTGCACAGCAATTCTGAAGGCACATGGTTTGGATCCCACCAGGTGCTCTGTGGGAAAAGGATGAACAGTCTCCTCCTGTGTGATTGTCTCTGAAAACCAGCTGGTGATTCAGCTGTGGTTCAGTTCTGACTCAATGGTACACAGCAACAATCCCCAGGGAAGCCGAGAAACCTTTTTTGCCATGAATGAGCCACCTTTTATCATTCAAGTGTGACATTTCGCTCCCCGGCAGCGTAACCCCTGTATATTCCCACAGTGACGCCCTTTTCTTGTTTAGAGCTCTTAGTAAAGTGCCTTATTTTTCATCTGTCCCACTGTGAGTTGTACCACCCCCTGCAGTTCTGCACCCACTTAATGTCTTCTACCAAACATCCTCCTCCAGGCTTTGGGTGAGTCAGGCAAAGCCATTGGGCAGAAGTGCAGAAATGCACAAGGTCAGGGCACCTGCGAGGCTGGTGTCAACGGAACAACAATGGGAAACAAACCTCTGTGGTTTTGTGTGTTCAAATTGGACCTGACCCACGGCTGACCCTCCACTGGGATTTCAGAGGCACCTAATCCCACGGGAGCAGATTGCCGAGCCTTCTCTCACAGAGTAGCTGATGGATTCAAACTGCATGCCTTTGGGATTGCAGTGCAGTTTCTTACCACTAGGCCACCAGAGCTCCTTACTAGAGTCAGGCAAGCTGGACTTGCTGGGAGCTGGTGCATGTTAGAAGCCTGAAGCATCCAGATTGTGTGTTGGGATGAGGATGGGAAGGTGGCCTCAGTCAGGGCTAGATCTGCCAAGGTGTCACTCATTCTGGGCACACAACTGTTACAGATTCCCACCAGTGCCATCACATAAATGCTTCTGCAGCTGTTGGCAAGAGACCTACCTCCTCCCAGAACTCAATCCAGTGTTCTTGACTAAGAAAGCTTCACATTGTATATATTGTAGAGGAAAAAAGATCTTTATTTGCCCATTATTGCTGTTGTTGTTTTGTTGTTATGTGCCGTCGAGTCACTTGCGACTCATAGCGACCCTATGTACAACAGCCCTAAACTCCGCTCTGTCCTGTGCCAATCGCACCGTCTCTGACACTCCCATCCCTATTACCCCAGTCACTGAATCAATCAACCTCATAGAGGGCCTTCGCCTCCTGCGCCGTCCCTCCACCCATTATTGCTACTGTCCATTATTACAAACCATGTTATTCATGGGCACGTTTGGAGCTGAGTGGCATTAATTTGATGATTGACACAGTGATCGATTTCCAGGAAAAGTAAAAATGACCCGGTGTTTGAGAATCTACATGACTTTTAAGTCACAGAGTGTACTTACTCCCTCTACTAATGGGTGAGATTCCAGGCTGTCAGCCCCTCTTCCCCCCGCCCCCCCCCCCCCATAATAGCTTTATTCTTGCCATTCTAAAAGATGTGGTAATGTCTAAATGTAGTTTGAATTTACATTTGAAAATTGAAAGTCAGATGCACTGCTGTTGTGTTGATTGATTCCAGCTCACGGCAACCCACTGCTGGCTTTCTGTGGTGGTAATACTTCACGTCCTTCCCCAGCTAACATGCTGGTGGGCTTGAACTGCTGCGGATGTGTAGCCTTTGGGTTGCATAGCTGACCGTGGACTATGCTAGCTCTTACTTCAGTCAGTGTAACTATTGTTTGCCATCAAGTCAGAATCGACCCATCGCTGACCCTCCAGCAGGTTTTCAGAGGCAGTTAAATGCATGGGAAGAGAGTGCCCATCCGTCTCCCATGGAATAGCTGGTGGATTTGAGCCATGTGCCTTCAGGATTGTAGTCCAGCTTCCTACCACTAAGCCACCAGATGACGATGTTGTGTGTTAGATGGCCTCAAGCCAGTTTGGACTCATGGTGATAGTGACCCTAAGAATTACAGAACCTAACCGTACCATCCTCAGAACCTCTGTTGTGCTTGAATTATCTTTGCACTCACTGTCAATCCATCTCGTTGAGTTTCTTCCTTTCTTTCACTGACCTCCTGTTCCAGGCTACTGTCCTTTCCCAGAGACTAGTACTTCCTGATATCACACCCAAAGTATATGAAACAAAATTTTACTCTTCTCACCTCTAAGGTTACAATAGACTGTGTCAGTCTAGAGACTAAGGTGCACCTGATCCAGGCCATGGTCTTTGCAATTACTTGGTATGCATCAAAGAGCTGGGCAATGTCTAAGGATGACAGAAGAATTGATGCCTTTGAGTTGTGTGGTGCTGGAGAAGAGTATTGAACATACCACGGACCACCAAGAGAACAAACAAGTCTGTCTTAGAGAGTGTGAAACCAAGTTTCTTCCTGAAGGTTAGGATTTTGAAGCTTCCTCTCACATATTTTGAGTATGTGAGATCAGGATATGTCCTTGGTGAAGGACATCATGCTCAAAAGGGTGGAGGGGACAGCAGGAAAGGAAGATTATAGAGATGTATTGACACAGTAACTGGGGTAACGGGTGTAGGTGTGTGGGAGTCCGTGAGATTGGCTCAGGATAGAGCTGGGTCCGATGCTGCTGTTCATAGTATCACTGTGAGTCTCAGGGGACTCGATGGCACATAACAGCAGCAACCTCTAGGGAGCCTCCTGACTTCACTTTCTCCAGGACAGATTAGTTGGTTGCTGTGCCCGTCCACTCAATACTCTATTTTTCAGTACCACAATCCAAAAGGCATCAATGACTCTTCCATCTTCTGTGTGCATTGTCCAATTTTAATTCATAGGAAACAGTTGAAAGGCCCAAGGCTCAGTTCAGGG